AAAAAAAAAAAAAAAAAATTAAAAGAAAGAAAAGATAGATAACGGAAACTATACTGCTTGTTTATTATAAATTTGTACGTAATACTTAAGTCTTGATTTCCCCCCGTTAATATCCAGTGGCGTAACCAGGGATATTGCAGGGGAGGTGCACAGGCAACGATCTGCAGAACCAATAATAAAAAAAGGTAACCAAAAAATAAATAAATAAATAAAATTAAAAAAGGTAACCAAAGTAAAAATTAAAAAAATAATAATAAAAAGGAATAATGGGTGAGTGATTCTTAGAAATGCTACGATATGCAGATGAAAAGTGGTCTTGATTTAATCAAAAAACATTTTCATGCAATTCTAAAGCAAAATGAGATAGATGAGCGGACCTTAAGCTTTTATGGGGAGGGGGGTTGGGGTGCACGTGCACCCTGTGCTCCCCCCTGAAGCAATCGTGGAATATGTAACCCGATCGTTATCTAAAGTGTGCTGTGCTGTGCTGTGCTGTGCTGTGCTGTGCTGTTCTGTGCTGTGCTGTGCTGTGCTGTGCTGTGCTGTGCTGTGCTGTGCTGTGCTGTGTTATTGTTACATTAAGCATTTTTTTTTTTCTAATTACAGATGCCGATGTATTAATTCCATTATCAGATGACCTTCTGGTCCAGGGGAAGTCGACTACAGTTTCTTGTACGGTATCAAACGGCGAAAAGTTCGTTGCTTGGGAATTCGCTAATAGTAGAATCACCATGGATAAAGCTGCCTCGGTTCATGTGGAGAAAATCAGTGATACACAATATAATCTAGTTATATCCAATGCAAAAGTCAGCAATGGCGGTGTCTACACATGTAGAGGTGACCTGGGAGGAAACAAACCCTTTACTCTGAAAATAGAATGTAAGAACAAAAATATTAATGGTGAATATATCATTTGATCAAACTTCTTACCTTTATGCAACCTTTTTTCAGTCAGTTCAAACAATGTTGAATTAAAACAATTCCTCCGCATTGGCACTAACGACAAGATCGTAATCGGAGTATATGGATACCCCAACCCTGAATTTGAATGGAAGAAGGACAACCAGCCATTCAACCCTAACACAGGTCGCTATCGCGCTCAGTCCGATGGCACTGTACTCGTCAGTAATGTTGAAGTCGCCGATAAAGGGAACTTCAGCTTGAAAATCTCCCAAGATAACAAACGACGATCTAAGGAACTAAAGATTGAAGTCATAACCTTCGGTAAGGGGTTTTAATGATCATAATTAATGAATGATGAATAAAATAAAAAATAAGTTGTAATGTACTAAGTACAAATTCTAAGCAAAATAAAGGAGCATGTTTTGACGTTAGAGTGTCTAAAATATTCTGTTCTTACTCGCGGTAACATGTAATTGTGCCCTCGGTAATTGATTCTCTTCTCGGATTAAAAATCGTACAAACAATGGTTATTGTCAGTAGTGTCTCTAGTATGAATCGTATCTTTAAAGGGCATGTGTTTATCAGTATGACAATTTTGAAAGAGCATTTACAAATTCAATCAATACGGATGAGATATTTGCCTTCAAATGCGCAATCGTTACAAATGCTATTGAGGGGATCACGTGTTCGACAGTAAATCTTTTTTTACATATTCTGTGTTTTTTTTTCAGAGCCCCCAGTGATGATACAAGTGCCTTTACCAGCTTCAAGATATTTAACTGTCGGCTTTAACACTACATTCCATTGTCGTGCCTCAGGGTACCCACCGCCCTCATATCAGTGGTTGAATCCTATATTAAAGCCAGTAGACACCTTCAATCCACGATTCACTATAGATGGCGAGTACCTCTACATTACCGATGTAAAGATCAATGATAAGGGGAGGTGGACTTGTATTGCTACCAACGTACAGAAATTTACTGTTAATGCTTCTGCCGAAATCAAAGACGTGTTTGGTAAATATTTAAAAAATGGGTTGCCTGTGTAGGGACTGACTGAGGAGGGCATGGGGAAGGCCATACTTCCATTTTAAAAGATCATATATATTTACTAGTTCCTAGAAACTACTCATTAGTCAAATCGTGGGCTCTTGAAAAGTGTACTGACCGGAAGCCAGAATCAGGTCGTCAAAGCAAAAAAAAAACTATTTATAGCATAGTTAATGGAGCGAAATGGTTGGGAAACCTACTGTTCTAGATTTTTGTGCAACTTTATCCATTTTATATGACAGAAAAGGAAAAGTTGCTCCATTTGTTCACAGTAGTAGGAAATATGGGAGTTTTTCCCCTAAATCGTTCTAAAATAGTTATTATTTGTTAATTAATCCTATATGATTAATATTAATTGTTTATTGAAAAGGAAATTGCCCTTCTTGATGCTTTCTTATTTATCATCTAGTAACATAACTTTATCTGCGCGGAAATATTTTATTCCCATGGTTTTTGGTCATTGAAAGAAAGTTTTCACTTTCAAAATGTTCATACATGAAAATATTAAGGAAATGAGCATTTTCAGCCATACTTTGGTTCATTGTGCACAGTCAGTATCACGTGATATACGGTTCAACCTCAAACGCAATTCAATTGCTTTCTAAAAAAAATCTTCTCAAAATACTTATCTCTGCTTGCTCTTTCTAATTCGGGTGCTTGTTTTTTTAAAGTCAACGGCGTTCAGATTTGCATAGGACTTATCATTTCTAATTATATGGTAAATTTAACAAATTGACATAAGTTTTTTTATGTGTCTATGTGTCTAAACATACTGATCCGCATATTACTTTGACGATGTGATTACGAAATTTATCGTCAATAAGAGGACAGACATACAAAAAACTGACGTAAATTTGTTTTCCACAATAACAAAAACGATAAAAATTCCTCGTTTTTAGTGATAAAAACAACCAACCGAAAGAGCGTGTGCTCGTTGACGTCAGCTTCATCTGTCTCTCATTGATGTTAAAAAATAACCAATCAGCGCACGCGAAATTTGTTAGTTCTTGTAAAAATGACTTGTTTTTTCTTTTATTCAGTTCGTCCAACACTTCAAGCAAAATATCTGTATGATGTGGTTGTGGAGCAAGGCGAACGAGCGACCCTAGACTGTGTTGCTGATGGCACTCCTTTGCCTAGGGTCAGATGGTTGCGTGATGGACGCTACGTCATGAGACAGCAAGTAAGTATCTCAGCTTCGATCTCAGTGACGGGTTTATTATTTCTATTGATTTATTAATATATTTATTTTAATAGCTGTACAGTAGACGTAGTGTTATAAGATTCAATCAAGCAACCATGCAAGACATGGGCAAATACGTATGCGAAACAACAAACGGTGCACGTGATCAAAACGGTAACGTCATTGTAGCACAGGAGACCATTGGATTGTATATTGAGTGTAAGTAGATATTTAGATATCTGTGTGCGACTTTTGAGAAAAACGTTTGCGCATTCGTGAATTTCAGCACGTTTTCTAAGAATTTAGAAGAGTTTGAGTGAGACAATAAAAGCCTTAAGTTTCAAGCATAAGTTTTGGCATTTTGTGAAGTCCAATTTATCAGGCATGTTTGAAAGTCAAATTTACATATTTTCACAATAGCATGAAGATGTTTCGACTAATTTGCATACGAACTTAGAGCATGCGCAGACATTTTTCACTATGTGCTATCGTAAAGCACGCCCCAACCAATCATAAGGTTAGATTTATACTTGTTATTTGATAATGGGGAATTGGTACTTATCATTAATAAGTGTGTGTGTTTTTTTTACAGCGGCTCCAAAAATGAACGTGAAGGGAACTCCGCTTACTGTGTACTCGTATCTGGGTAACCCCAAACCGGTCTTCATCAGATGTAACTTCGAAGGCTACCCATTTCCAAACGTGACTATATGGTTTGATAACATCCAAATTGCCAATGGAACGGAAGTGGCTATTTTTGACATCATCACAAATGAGCTGGAAGATTTCGGAGAGTATTACTGCTGGTCGTGGAATGTTCATGGGTCCAAAAACGTGACGGTTTCATTGACACATGCAAGTAAGAATGACATACATGTAATATAGAGGTTATTTTCCTAAAGTACGGTCGGGATAAACTGTGCCTGAGATCTTGAATATACAGAGCGCTGTGAGAAATATACTGCGAGCTTGCGCAGCCAATCAGAACGCACGATTCTTAGGATATAGACCCCTTGCATGTGACGTCAAAGCAGCTCGATCTGGGAAACAAAACAAAAGAATTCCAATCTCCTGAGAATTGGAACGTATTGTTTTGTCCCCTCAGATTGAGCTGCGTTCCAAAGTGCTGCAAGAGGTCTATACAGGATTGGATAAAAATAAAGCCTCTCACTGATCATTTACGCACCGACTAACTTGAAGTACTTTAAAGTGGTGGTATTTGGGTTAAATGGTGCTAGACTCGTTAAGACTAAGTAAGGATCACACAGAGATGCATGATAACTCATTATTTACAGACCGACTAACATGCCGTATTAACTTGACTTTGAAGTCTGCATTCGAGTTAAATAGTGCTATACGCATTCAGACCATATACACTCGAAATATTTGAAAAGATTTGAATCTCCCAATCTGACTTGAGTCAGACTGAGTGTTTTTGTTTGTAGAACCTCCAACGAGACCAACAAATGTCGTAGCTAATGCCACATGCGATTCAGTGATGTTGACATGGGACGAACCGAAAGATGACGGTGGCATGGTTATAGTACATTACGTACTGAATTTCGGTAACCAGCGGTGGAACACTGAAGACACCTACCCGCAATACTTTATAGAAGAACTGAAACCTGCTACTTCGTACACCATTCAAATACAAGCTCGAAACGTGATGGGCGTCGGAGATTACGAGACCGTTACCGTCACAACCAAGGAATACTGTGAGTAAACCAGTAATATCTTATTATATTGGTAATATCTTTCTTTAGTTGGGTTGGCACCGCCATTTTACGGAGTCATCAGCAATTGTCATAACAAACAAAAACGGATGTTTAGCGTCACCCTATGCATGCTATAGTGGGGATCCCAAGGACCTCTCGTGTCTATCCCAGGGGATCCCAAGGACTTCTCTTGTCTATCCCCAGAGGATCCAAAGGACTTCTTTCAGGGGCGGCGGAGGCGGGGGGGCCGGGGGGGCACTGGCCCCCCACTAGATTTTTTGGGGGGGCCTGGCCCCCCCAGAATATAATGCCTCACACACACAAAAAAAAAACGCATGAGATTTGGTTATGATTACCATTATTTATTATTTTGATATTACATAATTTTCTGTATCTAAAAAATATACAATATATCTAGCGACGACTTGCATTATTTTTGTGTCTCTCAGCACAATTGCAAGTGGTTTAATGCGCGCAAAATGTTACTGATTGAAATATCACACATACACGTTTGTAATCAAGCTAAACAGGGAGGGGGGGGGGGTCATTTCAAGGTACCGTGAAATATTGGAGTGCCCCCCCAAAATTTTTCAGCTTCCGCCGCCCCTGCTTTTGTATATCCCTCATGGATCCCAAGGACTTCTCGTGTCTATCCCCAGAGGATCCCAAGGACTTCTCGTGTCTATCCCCTTGGGATCCCAAGGACTTCTCGTGTCTATCCCCAGGGGATCCAAAGGACCTCTCGTGTCTATCCCCAGGGGATCCCAAGGACTTCTCGTGTCTATCCCCAGGGGATCCCAAGGACCTCTCGTGTCTATCCCCAGGGGATCCCAAGGACCTCTCTTGTCTACCCCCTTGTCCCTACTTCCATTAAAACAAAATTCCAAAAATATCGTCTAAATGATTTTGTTGTTGAACAAGAATATTAAAACTTCTATTTCAGGTGCACCGGGCCATCCGATACTGTGGCATCCGAGACAAAAAATGATCGAAGATACAGCGTTCTTTTTGAGGTGGCACGAACCACAGAAAAATGGAGGGGATCCTAATGTACGATATCAGGTGGTTGTATCTGAGGACCTTGAGGACGGGCCCTTTCCTATCAAGAAAGAAGAGACAGGTCAGTCAAATACCAAGACATTTAGGGCCGATTTTATAATTTAATTTACATCTTCAACTTTTTTGTAGGAGTAACGGAGTTCTACGTGGATAACTTAAAGTTTGGGATGCATTATGAAATCGATGTGTATGCGTATAATCAGGGAGGATGGAGTGTGCCTGCCACCGGTCTTTACCATGTACCCGCTAAAGAAGGTTGGTCTAACAAACAGATAACTGAGATAATTTAACAAATTGACATCATTTTTTATGTGTCTATCATCTTATTGACGAATTGCGTTATCACATTGTCAAAGTAGTGTGGATCCACAAGCCATAGCCGAGTGGATCCCAGACTACCTTGACAATGTGATGACGAAATTTATCGTCAATAAGAGGACAGACACATAAAAAACTGATGTCAATATAATAACATATATAAAACGCTAAAAACGTATCGTTTTTAGTGCGGATCAAAACAATCAAAGGAAAGAGCGCCCACTCGTTGACATCAGGTTCATCATATCGCGCCGTCCTCTTATTGATGATGAAAAATAACCAATCAGCGTGCGCAAGAAATTTGTCAGTTATTGTAAAACAGACCTTTTTACGACTTCACTTTATTGGTGGAATAGGCCACGTTTACGATATTAAAATTATAGCAATACCGAGGCTCTCCGGAATAAACCTCAACAGGATCAGTAGATTTTGATGAAATAAAAAAATGTGCGCGCGTGCGGTATGCAAATATACAAAGCACGCGGGGGTTTATCACATTTATTTTAAGAAGTGCTGTAGAGTTGATTATAACGTTGTTGTGTTAGTAACTGACTATCTATTCTACCAAAATGTTCTCATAAATTGCAGAAAGGTAGGAATGTCGTATGTGGTACATTATTATTCCTACCAATAAATGCATTTGGTTATCACGTGTTCGTACAATATATGAAGTATTATAAGGCTAAAGCCTCGTAATCGAGCGAGTCTGAATTTCAAACTGATATCGAACGTGGCTCATGAGGGATAGTTTTAATCCAGTACATCATACTAACAAACCATGTCTTGTCTCTTACAGTTCTTACCATGCAGTTAAGCAGTTCCTGTGGGCTGTCAATCAGCTTCACCTTGGTAACACTACTGCTATCAATAACATTCCTCTGGTAACCCAGTGACGTCATGGTCCTAATAAGGAATGGGACAGATGCGCGAGCATCTTTCAACCACTGAACCGCTGTGTTCAGTTGTGTGTTTCTTCCGACTTCGATGAAGTGGAAGAGAATTGTTTAGAAAGCTTATGTAATGTAAACTCTTGACAAACAAAATATACATAACCAGATATATAAATACGACCATATACTGATCATCTGATGTAAGCATAAAAAAGAGAAATTTCAAAGATACGTGATTTAACTCCTTGATTTTTTAACCGTTTAAACTGTGTCCCTTCGTCCTTTACGGTGCATTGCTGTTTTTTCGTAATTGTTTTGGTAACAAAGCGCTTTTTCTAAATGCTGTAATTTTCTAAATAAATACTGTATAGAAACATTCTTAAAAATATTCTTCGAACATATTATTCTCATAACGCTGCTCAAATGTACAGAATAATAGTTACTAATAAAAATACAATTATTTACCTTTGTCTGTCTTTAAGTTATTTCAAATAACAAGTACTAATTTCAAATAAAAAACCGAAACAACTAATTTTTTGAGAATACCGAATTCCTTTTATACAAAGTCTTTGCATTAAAACTGTTATATATTTTATAATTTATCTTGTCATTCAGTTACTTGCTTATTTTATACATTTACCGAGGGATTATCCGGCTGAATTCTCTGCGAAGTTTTCTGAAATGAATGTTTTGCCAAATGCAGAAATATAAACATTAGTTACTACATGTATATAAACCAAATCGATTTCGGCTAACATAACAGATGTATTGACGGATTAGTAGGTTTTGAAATCTTTATTATGAGTAAACTGAAGCTTATTATTCAGCATGTTTCCAAAAATGATTTTTTTCGAAGCAGTTTAATGGTATGAGTGAAAAAAAATTGTTCAAATTAATGAAATTTAATTTAATTTTAGGAAATAGAATCTCACCTTTTCCACAGGGTGTGCAAAAACGATCTTTCTCTTCTATAAATTCATTGCCACAAATAGTACAAAATGGCGCCATTCAATCGCGCTTCTTTGGGGGCTACAAGGGTGAGGAAGATTTTGTCGACAATATTGTACCCCCTGTCATCTTAAACATTGGGTTCCTTGTGTTACTCTGAAAGGATTCAATTCTGTATTGTGCCGCGGCTTTGTGTATATTGCCGTRAGTGAAATTGTGTAGTGCCGTGGAAATTTTGATTTGCCGTGCATGACAGTATGGGCCACCGTAGGGGAAGCAATATTCTTGATTATTAACGTCTTTATTGAAATAAAGCCAGAAGGACAGAATAATGCTTTTCTAGATCTGCTGTCCATGAAGTGCAGCGATCGCAGCGATCAAATGAAAACATCACTGACAATCGCTGTGATCAACGAATCAGGTTTTTGGGTGATTGTAAGAATAAAATAGAAAACAGGCATGTTTACATGTATATATTAACCACGTTTAATGATACAGTATGATTCGCATGACGATATAATTAAGTAAAACAAAATGGTCCTTAACATGCATGTCAATGTTTAATTTTACTTTATGCAGTCAATGTTGATCATTTGTTTTCGATACTATCGGCTTAAAAACTGGCTGTCAAACGAGATCCAAAGCAGAAATAACACTGAGACTTTATTATTGCAGTGTGCAGCAATAACTGAGTAATATCCGTATTGGCATATCAATTAACACGGTTTCATTTTAAAAATAAAACTGTTATTCTGCCGATTGCGATAGTTTTACCGGTATTAATGAGGAGGGAAAAACTCGCATCTTGAACCCGTAACCGAGGGAGAAAGAACGCAGAAAGCAGCATTTTCATTTTTATCAACACTTATTACTAATAAGAAAACAATTTCCCCTCTAATTCTTGCTCTGACTAATCATGGATCTATGTGTTCCTATGCCAACCAGAGTGGCCAAATGATTCATTAATATTGAATATTTATGTATGAATTATTAACGCATTTTTGAAGGAGAAATTTGTGAATTGGTTTTATAACATTCTTTTTTACTTTCACTCGCATCAACACTTTTGACTTCTCAAATTATCGCTGAAAATCTTCATCGGACATTTTGGATTCGTTTAGTCGTGAAAAAACAGTCAAATCGGTTCGTTTATCAATGATTTATCATTGTTATCATTATGGCTGAGTGTGAAGGGAAGTCAAGATCTTTTAGACTTCGGCCAACGTTCTTCTAAAGTTCTTACTGGACTAACTTATCAATCAATTTTCATTAGAAAACAAGAATCGTTCCTGAAGAACAATAGACCACGTTCATTTTGGTGCGTTTCTTTGTTCAGTATCTTTGTGTCTTTTATGCCTAAAGAAAGATCACGTGATTGGTATAGTTTTTCGGTTTTGTGAAGTCACATGTGCAGCCGAGTGAATCATTCGACGCCTTTGAGTGATCCATAGTTTTGGCTCCAAAGTAAAGTGATTTCATAAATTAAGTTTAACAACTAAAGATCGCTCATCGACTTGGTTGAGATACACAAGAGAGCTGTGGTGACTGGTTTAAACTACAAACCGTCGAAAGGGAAGCTATCTCAGGTATGCACTAACCTTGATGAAAATATTAACTACCATGATTAATATTAGTATATAACATTTACCCTCGGATAGCGAACAAAGACGGTCAAAACACGAGTTCTACAAACTCTTCTTCGGTACGAAAACCTAACAGCAACATTTTAAAGCCCGTTATTGATACTAAAACTGCGCAGTTTTGAGTWCACCAMTATCAAAAGYYGCTAAATTCGGGTTATCWAACAAWCCTGATAAATTAAGCATAATGMATGCRAACATGAGGTATTTGAGTCACATAAACTACGTAAATACGAATGTAAATACGACATTTATCGTGCATGGTGYTRGTTSTRAGTATATTCCAGTRGTATTGATRATAACKGTACGTTGTKYTTATTTATWYAGCGAAYAAGAGAGATGCAWAGGTTTCCAGTGCTGCTGTTGGYKGTAGTAGCCAGTTTTGTGGCTTTGGGAGGTAAGAATCACGCAACAAGTACTGATTAACTTTGAAACTATTCTATTACTATAAACATGAAAAATCGAATCGCCTTTTTGAGATTGACTGCAGTTGTTGGTTGTGTTGTAGTGATTTTAACAAGTAGATGGAATTATTTATGTAATAGTATTGATACATTAAAAAAAATGCAAATTTGAATACAAAAAAATAAAGCATGAATGATTTTATCAAAAACGTTGAAATTCCTACCCAAAAATGCTACAAATGACAATAAGATGTGGATTATAGCACATGTACAGATTCTGGTTGAAGTCTTGATTGACCTGATGTAGAAAAATTAAAAAAAGTACGAAAAGCTAGAACAGCTGATGAAGAAAGATTGTTGGAATTCCATTCTGCCAAGATCCTTGTTCATGGCTGAGCTGATTTTTGCAGGCAGTTTATAATTGATATTTTTATTTTTTTCTACGTATGCAGAATGTACAGTCACGGTTAATYYAGAAAGCAAAATGATAGGAGTGGGRACGACAATATCTGTAGTATGTACCATYACTGACGGTGAGACATTTGAAGGATGGTACAAAACAGGAAATAATGCTCGAAAAATAACGACCAAGSTCGATGACAGGATCAACTACAAGAGCGAAGGCGACAGACATACMTTGAAAATYAGTAARACACAGGATGTAGATCACGGAGTCTACGAATGTCGAGCAACATCTGGAAATAAAAAAACCTTCACTCTTTCGATTTTGTGTAAGTAAACCGGTGCATATCATATAAATAAACTGATATTATTAGTAGAAAATAAGTTTAATATATCGATCAGGGTTTTCAAGATGATACATTTATCATGTCAGGTTCACTCCACTTTACAATGTGCAGATTGAAATAATAGATTTACTATATTTTTT